GAGTTCTGTATTGAAACATGAATAAAATTTTATTAGTTATAGAGTGATTTGCATGATTTTGTGTCTCTCAGCATCTGCTATAAGCTTCTATTCCCCTCAGATTAGTTATTCAAATGTTAGGTCTACAGTTGCAGACAAGCCCCACAAGGATGATTTAATTTGATTTTAACAGATGTTTCTCCTTTTACTAATAGGAAAGTTCCATGTTGCAACACTTTACATTTGTTTACACACACACACACATCTATTTATATTTGGGTTGTGTCGTGTGCTTTCAATTTGTTTCTAATTAATAGCAATGTTGGTGAACCTGGCACAGGGGTTTTTTGGCAGGATTTCTACAGAGGAGATTTGTCATTGCTCTCTTTTGAGAATGAGAGGCTAGGGACCTCATCACATTGAGGTCCAAAACCATGGGGGAGTGGGGGGAAACCATTGCCCTACACCCTGCATCGCCTGTTGCATCTCTTACCTCATACCACAGGGAGAAGTTTTGCCACCCAGATTCCCCCTGTTCTTCCCTATGCAACACAGGAAGCCTCCTGTGTTCCCAGGGAAGTGTCCTAGCATGTTGCCAAGATTATTCCTCTATAGAGCCCCATCAGAATTGTTGTCTGATGGCATCCATCAGCTCTGTGAAGGAAGTATACTGGCAGTGTGGTAGGATGTTTCAATCTCTTCCATATGTGGTATGACTTGCCTAACATCACTTAATGGGGAGCCCCCGGTGGTGCTATGGAATAAACCCTTGTGCTGGCAGGACTGATAGCTAACAGGTCAGAGGTTTGAATCCAGGGAGAGTGGGTTGAGCTCCCTCTGTCAGCTCCAGCTCTCCATGTGGGGACATGAGAGAAGTCTTCCACAAGGATGGTAAAACATCAAAACATCCGGGCATCCTCTGGGCAACATCCTTGCAGATGGCCAATTCTCTCGTACCAGAAGCAACTTGCAGTTTCTCAAGTTGCTCCTGACACACACACACACACAAACCCTAATGGGTTTCCATGAGCAAGGATTTAAATCTATAATGCTAGTCCAATACTCAAACCATGATACCATGCTAGCTCTGACATACTTGTGTTACCTGTATTTAAGTTCTGACTTATTTTGAAATGGCTCCCTGCCTCCACAGAGCTAACCAAAGCAACCCCTCTAGATATGGATCTTTGAAGCATTGATCTAATTTTCACTTCAGAAATTGAGTAATGGAAGGAAAGTATGCCTATTTAAATGTATATGTATAATTTAATTTAAAAGATCAACATAGTGAGATCAGCATTGAACATATATTGTTGAATTAGGAAGGTTTGATCACACGTTTTTATTTAACCCCCCACCCCCCTTCACCAATACATTTCAAATGTCTGTTTCAGTGGACATTATTTTGGAACCAATTTTCAAGCAACTTTGAGGATTTTAGAGGGAAACGGGAAAGAAGAAAATTCTATTTTACAGCACTGCTTAGAGTCATATTAGATTTAGTCCAGAGAATGGAAAAAATGAAAAATTAAGAAATCTGATATATATCATTATGTATTCAGATTTTTGTCACTTAGAGTAAGTCTTTCTGATTTATAGTCTTTTACATTAAATTTTTAAAACGAATTATTAAAGTTAGATAGATTCCTTGGAAAAGCAACTCAATTTTCTGTTTTCTGGCACACAAAACTGTGAAGACATCTGTCTTAGATAACTGATGCAAGAAAAGGGTCTACATCCTGTTAGGCACAATATTGTGCCATGCATGCAGGGTATTCATATTGGACATTATGTAATGGCCATATGAAGATGATCAGACAGAAGAAGAGGTCTGCATGCAAAACATCTACCATTATAATGTCTATATGAGCCACAATGGGTTTTTGATCATTTTTAATGGGTTCTGATACCTCACTGTAAAGTTCCCAGAAGCCCAATGCAAATTATATTGCACATGCAATTGTATAACACGGTTGCATCTATGCACATATAGCAGTGATCCTTTTATGGTGTACTATAATGGCATTGTATAAGGATTACAAAAATAACATATGTGGAGGTGTTTGATACACACAGAATGGTGCTTTCACAACTGATATTATGTGTAAATTAATATTTTGCCCAGGTATGCACATTGCAAACTTGCATTGGAATCATTCACTCAATCTTTCTTTCAGGGTAGTCTGTGTTAAGTCGCATAAGCATACATTGTTGGGTGCCTTTCCCAGTCCTAAGCAGATTGAATTAGAAATCAAATATGCACAACATTTCAAACTTTTATCCCAGTTTCATATTTTTGACAAATAACAATGCTGGCAAGAAAAAATGTCATACACAGCAATAAGTCCATTAATTCCATTAAACTCAAATAACATTTGTGAGTGTTCTTTAAAATCATGTGTGAGTGTTCTTTACACTCTGACTCTTGCCACATCCCGGTCATCTATTAGTAATGGTAATTTATTTGATATTAATATTTTATTTTATTTTTGGTATCAGGAGCAACTTCAGAAACACCTTCTATTTATGTATATAACAGAGATAACAGAGAAGTAACGTCTGGTGTGAGAGAATTGGCCGTCTGCAAGGACGTTGCCCAGGAAACACCCAGATGTTTGATGTTTACCATCCTTGTGGGAGGCTTCTCTCATGTCCCCACATAGGGATCTGGAGCTGACAGAGGGAGCTGATCCACACACTCCCTGTATTCGAACCTCCAGTCTGTTGGTCTTCAGTCCTGCTGGCACAAGGGTTTAACCCATTGTGCCATCAGGGTCTCCTATTAATAAATAATTATTAAATATTAATAAATAATGATGCATTTTATTTCTACCCTGCCACCATCTCCCCTAACAAAATCCAGTGAAGTGCCACATATAAACAATACATGAATCTAAAATGATAAACCATAGAATTACAAAGGTCAAAGCAAAAAAAAGGAAATGAAAAGAAGGAAAGAAATTTACTGGAGTATTATATTTAAAATGTTGTTTAAAAGGAGCAGATTAAGCAATAAAATAGCCATACATTTAATTACAATAATTAAATACACAATACAAACTGTAATCCTAACTTTATAATATGGCTTACCAAGGCTAAGGACTGGTTTGAATTCTGGTCACATTGTAGATCATGTGGGTGGCACCACAAAGATTTCAAGCTGCAATCCTAAACATATTTAATGAAAATAATTTCCCATGGCGCTCATTAGAACTTACATACTAGTAAATGTGCTAAAGATCTTCCTGTAAATTAATGATTCACTGTTTATGTTCAATTTCATTTGGAGCTGTGGGCGAATCATAATAACTTTATTGGTTTTAATAGTTTAGCCATAATACTAAAATTTGAGTCCTTTAAAAACTTTACTCTCTTGAGGGGTCTACAGTAATTAGATGAGACGCTATTACCATAATTAGACATTTGTGCATGGCTTTTTACAAATAATGGGAAAAATTTTCCTAGTGCAATCACAGAGTCTTTGGATGTTCTGTAAAGCTAAATAACATTATATAAAGTGTATTTACATAATGTATCTGAACTATTTTAGTTTCATGGATCACTATACAAAAATGGGATATGGAAGGTATAACATATAAGAAAAATATATAGATTATACACAAATCTAGAAATATGGACCCAAAATTGCATCAGCACTAATGTAGCACAACAATTCAACCAGGTCACGATACAAAAATACTGTAAAGTGTCCAAGCCACATAAAAAATATGATACAATGATCTTTGATCTGAATCAAACAATTTAAAATATGAGGAAAAAATAGCAAAACGGTCCTGAGTTGTAAGTGTTCTAATGCTAACAAGACCAAAGTGCTATTTAACTTTCAAATGTGAAGTCACTTCTAGACCTTGGATGTCATTGAGTTGCCTAGATTCCTACATAGATATCTTTTCTAGGATTTTGTTACATTCTCCAGCACAACTTAATGGTAACTTGTTTAGGGACCTTGTCAGACGTAACACCAAAGATGTCCCAGATCACTGCTTCCCGCCAACGTCCGCGCAGGGGGATGGGGACCTGCTGTCCCCATGCGGCTTCCCCCCTTCCTCATCACATGGGGGAAGCCTGTGTTTGGCAGCTCAACCCATCTTTGCTTATAAAAAGATGGGAAGCCTGCCGTTATCTGCTGTCGCCATTTTTTTTTGGTGGCAGCAGCACTTCAGCCATGGAGCTGCCCCAGAAGTAGTTATCCAGTGTGATAGGAGTCATGGGACTCCATGGCTGAAGGCTGAAAATACTGTCCATCAGCAGATATAGGGTCTGTAGTTACAGGAGTGTTACTATACTTTTGAACCATTGAGATACATAGCAGTAAATTCTTTCAGCCACATTTATACCAGCTGTCTCCTTAAATGTCAGATCCATATAGTACTGTCTAGATTTGTGGCACTAATTCTAAATTTTATAATATCCATAGAATTAATGGTACAGTGGCTCATAAAATGTAGTTTTCCTATTGTCAATGTGGAGACAACATAAAGCACCTCATGTTGGTGCAAATGCTCAATCATTCCTACAGCATAGAAAAGCAGCAGACATTCATCTCAGCACCTTTCCACCTTCTATTTATCTATATAACAGAGATAAAGCTCTGCCAAAGACGAACACACAATCAGAGCACTCCTGACAGATGTCCATTCACCCTCTACTTAAAAAATCCCTGAGAAGGAGATTCCATCACACACAGAGACATCATAGTCCACTGCTGAATAGCTCTTACAATGAGAAAATTTATCCTAGTTTTTAGGTGGAATCTCTTTTATTGTAACTTGAATCCATTATTTTGTGTGTTAGGCCTCATTTACACTACCATATAATGGAGTTTGCAATTGCATTATATGAGTGTACACTGACCAGATAATTCAGTTTCAAACTGCATTATATGGCAGTGTAGATGAGGCCCTAGTCTCTAGAGCAGCAGAAAACAACCTTGATCCCTCCTCAATGTGACAGGATATAATAGGATTATTATTTCCACAAAGTATTCTGAGAATAGTGGGTTAAGCATGGTCTGTAATGGCAAAAAGCTAGAAATGCTGGGATATCTCTTTCTCTTCATCAGTGCCAGAAGTGGAGAAGAGGTTCTGCAACCTTGGTGTTCACCTGACTTTACAGGTAAGTGGAACAGAAAAATACTTTCTGGCATGCTTCTGCAACTGTCTTTAACTAAGAATTGAAGTGAACAGTTTTCAATGAATGTTTTCATGACTGAACCTCTTACTAAAAATAGAATTGCTGCCATACCATTAAGTAGATTGATTATTGAGGATATTTCTGATGAGAAAAACGCTAAATATATTAGAAGGTAGCTTATTTGTTCTTTTTTATTTATTTGTTTATTTTTGCATTTGATACAAAGCATTCAATATGGGGAGTGAGATTACATTGTTTCATATATTTATGTATATATGTGTGTGAGAGAGAGCAAGAATATATGTATGTAATATCCTGCTTTTCACTCAACATGGGACCTAAGAGATTTAGGTTTAGATGGATAATGATATGGAGATAATAGCATGTATTTTCTTGTTATCATCCAAAATAGAGTCATTTAATGAAATTGCTAGATCGTACATTCATAATGCAGGAAATATAGTACATTTTCCCCTCAGTAGATGGAAAGTTTCAATATTAAAATCAAGCTGAATTTGTTTCATAGTCGGATATGGAATGAAGAAATCAACAAAGAGGTGGCAACCATCCCAGCCACTGCCACATCAAGCTGTTAGCAACTTCTGGAGAAACAAATCTTTTAATGAGAAGAGAGAATTTGTACCTGCCATTGTGCTGATTGACCTGTGAGCTGAAACTGTCGAGCAGCATGCTGCGGTAGCACCTGTACGTAGTTTCCCTGCCAAAGGAATGAATGGGATTCGGAAGGGACTACCCAGGAAGTAAGCTCACAAAATCAGTTCAGAGATGCAGCACTTGAGGAGCTGTCCAGCATTTCAGCATCACAGCAATACGCTTGGGATTCACAGATTGCTGGTGTGCCTCCAGAGCAGAGCAACCGGGAAAGGATGCAGAGAAGGAAGATAGAGCCATGGTTAGTGAGGTAAGGGAAGCATCTTAAAGATTAATTAGTGAACAATTCATGCTAGACTGAGTGCAATAAATAGTACATGTATGCTTCTGAGAGGTAGGCTTGGGAGTCAATGAGCAAGAAGAGCGGGTAATTTGCATGTAGATAGAAATGAGTTTCATTTAGGATTCTTTAGTCACAGAAGCATGTGGGGTTTTTAAAAATGGTTTTCATTTTGTCCACACAATAATATATGCACTATGTTACTTCTATGCAATGCAAGGAAACACAATGCTTTTTAATATGAGAGGGAAGGAAGTTTTGTGGTTTAAAATGACATTGTATGTATATTTGATGACACTACTGAGCTAAGTTGAGAACATTTTGAAATTTATTTATATTTAAAATGTATTTGTCTTAGGACACCTGGACAGTAGGAGTGGTGTGAAGAACAAAAATTAAAAGGAAGCACAGAGCAAGCAACTGATCGTGTGATGGTTTAAATAAAAGAAAAAGAGAGTGCTATGCAAAGTAACTTGGATGAAAATCAGCTTATTCCACTAACTAGCTGGAAGGATATAGAATCTTAATGCAATCTCTGGTGCAAGGCGTTTCAAATGTATTGCTCTCACATGCAAGGTTTAGTTAAAGGTCTGAGACTATTAAAGTGATCTAAACTAAACATCATTTATCAGGGGAAAGTGAGCCTTGTCACTTGATACAATGGATAATTTTTCATCTCAACCTGAACTGAATGCTTCCTGCCCTGATGTGGATATTGGTTGCTACAGAAGAGAACACAGTTGGAACAATGTGTCAGACCCACAACTGATTCCTAATTTCTACATTGCTGTGCCGATCATCTACTCTGTGATCTGTGCTGTAGGACTCACGGGAAACTCTGCTGTCATTTATGTTATCTTAAAGGCTCCCAAGATGAAGACAGTCACCAACATTTTCATCCTAAACCTAGCAATTGCTGATGAGCTCTTCACTTTGGTACTTCCTATTAATATTGCAGATTATCTGCTTCTTCAATGGCCCTTTGGTGAATTCATGTGCAAACTGATTATCTCCATTGACCAGTACAACACTTTTTCAAGCATTTATTTTCTGACCATCATGAGCATTGATCGATATCTGGTGGTGGTGGCCACTGTCAAATCAAGGAAAATGTCTTATCGCACCTATAGAGCTGCCAAGACTGTGAGTCTGTGCACCTGGGTTTTAGTCACAATCATTATCTTGCCATTTAGCATCTTTGCCAAAATACATACTGAAGAGGGGCGGTCCCAGTGTGTCTTTGTTTTCCCAAGCCCTGAGAGTTTCTGGTGGAAAGTGAGTCGCCTTTACACCCTGATCTTGGGTTTTGCCATCCCTGTATCTACCATTTGCATCCTGTACAGCACCATGCTCTACAAGCTAAGACATATGCACCTCTGTAGCAATGCCAAAGCCTTGGACAAAGCAAAAAAGAAAGTGACAATAATGGTGCTGATTATTTTGGGAGTTTGCCTGTTCTGTTGGACACCCTATCACCTCAGCACTGTAGTAGCCCTCACTACAGATATCCCCCAAACATCTCTCATTGTTGGAATCTCTTATTTTATCACCACCTTGAGTTATGCTAATAGTTGTCTGAACCCATTCCTTTATGCCTTTTTAGATGACACATTCCGGAAGAGCTTTCGAAAGTTGGTCGAATGTGGAACTTCCCAATAAAATCCCAATATCTTTATATAATATGTTTGGAAGAGTTAATGGACTTCAGAGAAACTTCACTGAATCAAAGTTAAATGGGAGAAGCTGTCATCATGGACCAAGTCTCTGCTCACTAACAAGAACTGTCTGCTCACTTCATCATGAAATGTTTCTGACTTGAGAAACTTGCTGATTCTCTGATATGGTGTCTATTAATTCTTTATTTCTCTTCTTTTTTCCCTCTCCCTTCCTTTTCTTCTTCTTCCACTTTCTTTTGTACTTATACTTCTATTCATTATGGGTTCCCATATTTTTAATGTGATTTGCAATATGTATTTTTGGAATGTGAAAAAAAGAAAAAAACACTGGACAGTATTCATTGAAAAATAAATTTATTTGATGTTTTGGATGTTTTGTAAAGCCAAATAAAGTTATGCAAAATGCATTTGCATAATAAATCTTAATTGTGCTAGTTTAGTGGGCCGGTATACAGAACTGGGATATAGAAGGTCTAACAAATAAGAAAAATATAGAATATATACCAAAAAAAATCTAGAAATAGAGACTAGAAATGCATAATCTTTAAATGATACACAGTACAGCCAGAAACATAAGGTTACAACATCAAAATACTGTAATGTATCCATGCCACGTTAAAAATATGATACAACCAAATGAATTTTGGATCTCAAACTGAAAAGTATAAAGGGAAAAAATGGGAAAAACCCTGAGTTATGAGTGTTCTAATGATAACAAGACCAAAGTGCTACTCAACTTTCAGTTGCTAAGTCATAGAGTCTGTACAAAAATGTCTCCTTTTCTGAAACTCTGACACATCCAAATGAAGAACATACACAGTACCAACTAACCTAGTCAGTGAGGAACAAGGCTAGCTTTCACTTTGCTTGTCAGTTACTGAAAGGTATATTTTACATCACTGAGAGATTCAGGTTGAAATGTATTTGGTTGTTTAATGTTTTAAATGAAGTTCTGATAGAATATGCTATTTTATTGCTTTGCACAGTATTTTAGATATAATACTTTTTAATATCTTTTTTTAAAAAAAGTTAGATTATTAAATTTTCTACACATGTGTATTGTCTATTTTTTTCTTTGTTTGATTGGGTTGCTAGTTTTATATCTGCATTTTGGACAACTTGGTGTATTACCTTCTTCCATCATATTTTACCACAAATTTATTGTACGTATGGTAAATAATTTGTTGTTATCGCAAAGTGATGTGTTCTTCAATGACAGAGAGTCTTTTCTTCGGCTGAGTGTTGTATTTCCTGCAGACATCAGAAGAAATAACAGTAGCAATAGTACTGGTGGGCAGAACCAGAGGAAAAAGTTCTCCTGCTCTTGACTACACAATCTCTCTCTCAATTTTATGATTTTAATCATCTCAATCTTACTCTCTTTTTGGTTTTCCTCCTTTCACATCCATCAGGGTACTAAAGGAAAGAGGGATTGAATGTATTGCTTTTAAAGAGCTTTCAAATTTTAGCCTATAGTTATACATTCTCCAGTAATAAATTTTATGGAGCATTATAAGTCTAGAAACACATGGTAGTAATTCTCCTCCTCCTCTTCCATCTCTTCTTCCTTCTTATTGCTCTTATTGAACAAAAAACCCTCAAATTTCCACTTTACACAGATTAATTACCTTTAATATGACAGTCATTTTAACTTATTATTAAAAGCATTCAAATTCCATTTTATTTATTGGTGAGATCAACAGCTACAGCTTTAAAAGCACCAATAATTTGTTCTGATAAGATTTAAATATTCACAATTCCATTCCAAGCAATTTGTGAGGTTTTTTCTGAAATAGCCAAGAAAGGATAAGGAAACAAGTTTCTGTTATGCATGAAGCAATATGTTTTGTGAGCCCTCTTCAGTCAGAAGAGAGAATTTCAGGCTAAGTAACTATTCCTTATTTTTAAACCCAGGGCAGCTTTTAATGTTTTCATTAGATGGAGTTTGTCACAAGGCTTTCTCAAGAAGTGATGCCTACCAGTTAAGCAGTGTGTATCAGAAAATAGGTTTGAACATCTAATAATAATGCTTTATGTACAGAATACCTTGTCAAGTACAGTGGATTGATTCTCTTCAAAACGTGTGCCAGGTGCTATAACTTTAATTATTACATTAATCACTTGTTCAAGGTCTCAGCATATAGGTTCCCAGTCCCACATACTCATTCATGTAGAGATGAAAAGGAATTTTGATATTGTGAAGTTTTTTGCACAAAGACACATCCTGGTTGATTGAAAAGCCCCAAATTTAATTCCTTTTTGATTTTGTACTGGGTTAAAATAAACTGACCTGGGGGCCTGGTATAAAAAAATTCTGATAGTACTAGGAGCTGACAGAAAACATTATGAGATAAAGATAACATATATGTCTCTACAAAATAAAATAATAAGAACACCATTTGGAGCTTCCTATCACCCTCCTTGCTCAGGGGACCTTAAACTGGCTAAATACATTGAATTGGGCTGTATTCACCATTCTTCATTTTTTAATAGTCACACTTTCCCCTTTTTTGTTCCAAAGCATTAGATTTTAAATTAAACAATATTGAAAACAACTAGAGAAAATATACAGGTGTTCAGAAAACAAATTTGCATACAAATTTACAAATAAACACTTTAGTCTTCCTAGTCAGAAGACTCCATGCCTCTGTCATTACTGTCATAATCTGGTGCACTGTCCTCAGGGTTGCTCATGGCAGATGTTCTTTCCTCCACATTACCCTCCCTCATTTCATCTTCTGATTCATCCTGTGCATTAGAAATGCCATTTTTAAAAGCTTTTTACAACAATGTGCTCTTTGACAAAGTCCCATCTCTTAATGACCCATGTATACTTCAGTTCTAAGGATCAGTACTTCATATTTCCAGTGAGTGTCCAATTTGTTTGGTCATTATCACTCATCATCCACTCATTATACAAATAGCACAAGTGGTCTTTAAAGGGCTTGTTCACTGATATATCCAGTGGCTGCAAGACAGAGGTTAAGCCACCAGGAATCACTACCTCTTGTATCTTATTGTCACAGAGAAGTTGCTTCACTTCCTAGACAATGTGACTTTGGAAACTGTCTGAAACTAACAGAGCTGTCTGTTTCCTAAGTGCATCTGCTCTTCTGTTTCACACAGGTTTAATTCAATCCACCATGAGTTCTAAGTTCATCCAACTCTTTGTCTGCACCCATACACAAATCCCCCAGGGAAGCTGTACCCCCTTAGGCATTGTTTTCCTCTTTAAAATGATGTATGACAGTAACTTCCCTTCATCAGTTATAATGGCAAGCATTATGGCACACCACAGTCTCTCATGACCACTGATTCTCATGGTGACACTGGATGAACCTTTTGGTGCAATAGTGCTGCTTCATGGCATATCAAAGAACTCTGCAGTCTGATCAACATCAACAATTTAAGAAGATGGGTATGCATTTCTTTGCACGTATACAAGACAAATTGATGAAAGCTTGCCACCTTCTTGGTGTAGTCAGGTGGCAGCTTTTGATATAGAATGGTTCTCCTTCACAAAGACAGGTTGCGTCATCAGTCACATGAACCATATAACTCAACCATGACTTGCCTTAAACTGAGTGGGGGGAATGTTGTGTTTGTGGGCTACCTGCTGTGCTTGCATGTGCAACATCTCATAAGATACATTACAGCCATCAATTGTATGACATCTCCCTCACATACATAAAAACTTCCTCATCAAATTGTGGAAACCTGCCTGTTTTGGGACCTCTAAATGCAAACTGAGTAAGGATAATGTTCTGTAGAAAGTGATTTCACTTTCTGCCAGTCACATACCAACTTCTCATTTACATAAAACTGCCACCCTGCAGCTCTGTTTTCATGCTCCTCAGCAAAAAGAATGATTCTCAGCTTAAACTCCTCTGAATACCTTTTGAATTTGCCACTATTCATGGTCAGCAGTTCTAATGAGCACATAGTGTAGATGAACACAGCCTCTGTGAAGTAAACACTCCAGTGTTCCCTCCACATGTCTTTCTGTCCAGCCTCAAAGAGTTTTACTGCTTGTTGCCCCTTTTAACAAGAGCACATCACTTGCTCATCCAAAGACTCACCACCCACACCTCTGCCCAAAGGCCTACCTGCCTGCTTCATTCACTTACCCATCTACTCAATTTATTTTTATTTATTTATTTCCAACATTTGTACCCCATCCTTCTTAACCCCAGAAAGCAGACTCAGGGCAGCTTACGGAGGCAACAATTTGATGCCAACACATACAGACTACACACACAACATATCAAACATTACACATTAAATAAAACCATTAAGTTAAAATCCATTTAAAAACATTAACAACCATGTAGCCAAATCCAATCCAATTCAGCATCCCAAGACTTTGTCAGAGCCCATTCATTGTCAGTTCATATAAACATTGCAATTGCTACTAAGCCTGCTCCTCAAATGCCTGGCCCCAGAACCATGATTTAAGCTTCTTCCTGAAAGAGAGGAATCAAAAGGACAGATCTGTCCAAAGACCAACCCTCCTATTTTACTCACTCCCTCACTAATCCACTTGCCAATCCACTCACTCACTTGCCTATGCATTCACTTACTCACATACCCATCCATCCACTCACCCAGCCCAAAAAGGGAGGTGCAACTATTATGAAGTGGTGACTATTATGTCATGAAATACAGTATAGTAATTTGAAACAATATTAACTGCCTTAGTTCAATGCCACAGATTTCTAGGATTTGTAGTTTTGCTAGATATGTATCCTTCTCTATCAGATAGAACTCTGGTGGCACAATAAATTACAAATCCCAGGATTCTACTACACCATTCTGGTTCCTAACAGGAATGAGCTAATCTCAAGTTAGTTAACTCCATAATATTGTTGCAAACCAAAGCAGGGAACGAGGCCCTAAGATAACTATCCACCACACTTGGCTGTGAAAAACAATCCTTTTTTATTGAAGAAAAATGGTTACAAAATAAAGGAAAAATGCAAGTCAAAAGCCACAGCAAAATCAGCAAACATGAATTTAAATGGACAAAGCAAAACAAAAAGCCTCACTGGGAAATGCTGGAACCTGTTAGCAATCCACTAACCGTACTTGATATCCTAGAAATCTTCCCAAACTATGGCCAGGGAACCGGGAGAACTGCCAAGGTCTTCATCAACTCTGAAACGATGCCTGAACTGAGACAGTCAACCCGGCGTAAGGCAATTAAAAGTCAGGAATTGGTTCCGTGAACCCCCCTTCTTTTTTGAAGCCAATGTTTTTAATTCTTGAATTCGGGAGGATCGATGCAAACTGAGTGATTTACTTCTGTCTTCCCAAATTTGGCCCCTTCTGTTGTCATTACAGTTAACAGGTGCAGAAGGGAGGGAAAGTTCAAGGTCTCCCTCTGAAACATTCTCATGAACACTGGTACTTTCATTTTCCAAATCTACAGAAGTTCCTTCCTCACTAATTTCAGGAACATTGGCATTTTCCAAACCTACAGCAGTTTCTTCCTCACTAATTTCAGGAGCATTGGCATCAAAAGGTACATTTCCATTAGCATCAGTAAATATACTTTCATTAGCATCAGGAGAAACAAACAGAGAATCAGGTTCAAGTTCAAACTCAGGCTGAACCCCAACAAATATTACATTAGTCGACTCGATGGACCTAACTATCTGAATTCTTGCATTACAGTCCCTGAAGGGCTCACATTACAGTATCAGTTGCTAGAGCAGAGGTTCTCAACTTGTGGGTCCCCATGTGTTTTAGCCTACAACAACAACAAAACAAAAAAAAGAACTAAAAACTTGGCTCTTCTGATGTGACTTTGGCGAGTGAACATATATTCAATATTTCTTCTGTTCCACCCTCATTATGATTTTATGAAGGTCTAGCCCCATTGTTCATTCTTTTTGAGTTCCTCCTCAAAAACACATTGTCCCACCACTTATCTCATCCAGGGTTTTTATCAATTTTA